GGTTAAAAAAAAGGAGTTTTCTGACTTTTTTGAACTAGAGACTGCCAAATGGAAATCTACCATAGCTAGGGATTTTTATTTTTTTTCCGGGTGGAGGCTCCCCTCTGAATATTTTTCACTGAAAGCAGAGGGGATGTTCCCTTGGAATATCTGCTTTTGCCTCCTATCATTATAATTGTATGTCAAACGTTAAGCTAGTACATTTAATAAGGCCACTTAAAATTAATAAATTGTTTTACATGGCCGCCCGCCTCAATTTTTTGGTGCCGCCTCGATTTCTTTAATATTTTTTTAAAAATCCGTTTTTTTCACCTCAAAAACTGTCAGAGATCGTCAATACGCACGCGCGCCATCTACCGTTAGTTTAACAACTAACAGTGGTCGTTTGAAATCAACGAAATGAACTGTTGAGAGTTTAAAATGTTGAGATACTGACAAATTAAAGTTTAATTTTCTAGTTTTAGTATATCTCTGTTGCCGTTCGCCCTTTCGCTAAAAATACAAAATTTAAAATCCCCTACTCACCAATATTTTAGAAGTTTGAGTCATGTAAAACAATTTATTAATTTTAAGTGGCCTAATGTAGCATGGAAATATTTCCAGTTCGCCCTGTGCTAGAATAATAAAACAGAAAGATGCATTTTAAAACACTTATTACCAGGGAGAAGTCATTGTAAAGGGCGAATAATTTCAATCCTTCTAGTTTTGGCATCATTAACATATATGGGTCACAGTTACTCACTGTAAATAGGAGCTGTCACGTACTACACAGAATTATTTTGCGGGCTTTGAAATCAATGCCATCGGTCTAAAGGATCACGTCACAGTGCTTTCCTGCCAGCCGCAGCTGATTGAAAATATCATAGGTAGGGGACATTATGTCCCCCTTCCTGTTATATCTCTTCATTTTTTCAGAAGTGGATGGCACGTCCATTTCTCTTGCATATTTTTCTGAAATGGCCAGCAATTGATTTGTTGTATGTTATATATTTTTTATTACACGGCTCTCAGGAATGCTTGATTCTGATTGGTCAGTTGAGACATTTGCAGGTTCGTTCTTTTCAAATAATGACCGCTCCAAAGTAATAACGTATAGCCGGTACTACTTGTATGTTTAAAATCAGTCCGCGCCAACAAAGATTATCGTTTAAAAATGTTCATTTAAAACAAATATGTCAATAAAATGTTTCAAATTTATATTCATGTCCAGTTTTTTTCNACCATTAAAATTAGCCTTCCTAACATTGTATACTTTTGTTTTGGACTTAGCTCTTCTGACACTAAAATTAACCTCAAATTTTACCATGCCATGACCACTACCATCCAATGGTTCTAAAACCACTAATTTTACATCCTATTCTGGTTATTAGAGAAAACAAGATCAAGAAGGGCTTCTCCCCTGGTAGGGGTATTAACAAACTGAGTAAAAAAGCAACCCTGTACTAATGTAGGTAGACACAGTGGCCCAGAGCTCTCTGACACTTAGCAACATTGTAAATTATACTTGCTCTAAACTGTTACAAATCTGTTACTGTTACAGGGAAGCAGGTGATCATCAGAAAAGCAGCGGGACCAGACGGGATTTCAGGACGAGTTCTGCGATGCTGCGCTGATCAGCTGACTGGTGTTTTCACTAAGATCTTCAATGAGTCCCTAGCTCTGTCTATTGTGCCAACGTGTTTTAAACGGTCCACCATAGTTCCCGTTCTGAAGCACAACAAGCCCTCCAGCCTGAATGACTACCGCCCGGTAGCCCTAACATCTCTGGCCATGAAGGTGTTTGAAAGGCTGGTAAAGAACTTAATCTGTTCATCCATCCCAAATTACATAGACCCATTACACAGTAGTTCACCTACCGACCAAACAGATCCACTGAGGACGCCATCGCTCACGTACTGCACACCACTCTCACACATGTGGACAGTAGAAATAGGAATTATGTAAGGCTGCTCTTTGTGGACTACAGCTCAGCCTTCAACACCATCGTCCCATCTAGACTGTTCACCAAACTGGGGGATCTGAGTCTGAACTCACAGCTGTGCAGGTGGGTATTAGACTTCCTCACTGGTAGACCACAAACTGTGAGAGTGGGATCCCGTGTGTCAAGCACCATCACTCTCAGCACTGGAGCTCCTCAAGGGTGTGTTCTGAGCCCCCTGCTCTACACGCGCTACACCTACGACTGTGTTGCCTCCAACAGCTCCAACACCATTGTGAAGTTCGCGGACGACACAGTGGTAATTGGATTCATCACCAACAATGATGAGTCGGCCTACTTGAGGGAGGTGGAGAACCTGTCGGTATGGTGTAAGTCCAACTGCCTCAGTCTGAATGTCAGCAAAACTAAAGAGCTGATAGTGGACTACAGCAAGAAGAAGCAGCGCTCCTTCTCACTCCTCCAAATCAACAGTGTTCCTGTGGAGAGGGTTGATAAAATCAAGTACCTTGGGGTTCTGCTTACTGAGGACCTCACTTGGCATGTCGCATGTCTGCACTCTGGTCACCAGAGCAAGGAAGCGGTTATACCACCTGAGGCAGATGAGGAGATTTAGGGTCACTCCAGTGATCCTAAAAACCTTCTACTCAGCTGCTGTGGAGAGCATTCTGACCATGAACATCACAGTATGGTTTGGGAACTGTTCTCAAAAGGACCGCAAAGACCTGCAGAGGGTGATCAGGGCGGCCGAGCGTTGTGTCAGATCTCCTCTGCCCTCCCTGCTGGACATCTACAATAAACGCTGCAGGTCCAGAAGTACAAAGATAATCAAGGACTCCTTACACCCTGCAAACTGCCTGTTCCGCAGGCTGAACTCAGGTAGACGGTTCCGTTGCCTGATGTCCAGGACTGAGAGACTGAGAAAGAGCTTTTCCCCCCAGGCCATTAGGCTTCTCAACGTGAACTAGCACTGAATGCACAAAGTCTGCAATTTTGCACTACATTTCATATTTTTCAGTTTTGCACAATATTTTTGATTCATGATTTTAGATTCTATATCTGCACTGTATATTTTTAGATTATATACTTGGTTCCTTACGTATTTATATATTGTAATTTCTCTTTTTTACTCCGACATTACTTCTTACCTTTTTCTATTTTTATTTCTTTCTATTTTTACACAGCCACATAAGGGTGACAAAGAGATACATTTCACTGCATGTTGTATGTATGTGACAAATAAATCTCTTGATTTGAAATCAGAGACTATGACATTAGACGTGTCCCCAGGGACATTTCCTCGTCTCTGGATGAGATAATTTGGCCAGCAGCACATACAAGGCATAACGATCTGCCAGGATGCAGAGACAGTCCACATTGCTGGAGGAAGCAGAAGCAAGGGACATGAGCTGGCAGCCAAGCTATGCTATGCCTAGCCCTGGACAGACCCACACTTCCTAGCATATTCCTTGCCATCGCACGGTATGTGGTGAA